TTTTTTTTTTTTTTTAAATAATTTTAATGCTTATCTTTTTAATGGATTTCTTTGGTACAGTGGGTCTCAAGATTATTCATTAAAGAACTTATTAGTTCTTTAGTAGGGCCAGGGATTTTAGCTCAGTGGTTCTGTTGCCTGCCTCTCAGGCGCAAGGTCTCGAGTTCAATCCCTGGTACCAAAACCAAAACAAAACAACAAAAACAACAAAAAAGAACTTATTAGAGGGCTGGGGATTTAGCTCAGTGGTTTTGCTGCCTGCTGCACAAGTACAAGGACCTGAGTTTGATCTCCGGTACCAAAAAAAAAAAAAAGAACTTATTAGAGTAATCCTAATTTTCATACATGTACTTATGTCTAATTTATCTAGAACTTAAACAGATTTTTAAAAATTAAATTGTCATATTGAAAATTTGCATATGTGCTTGCTTTTTGTTTTGTGTTTACCAGCAAATCTTAGAAGAGCATGACCTTAAAGAAGAAGATTTTGGCCTATTTCAGTTAGCAGGCCAAAAATGCATAGAAGAAGGGCACATAGATCAGTTATTAGAAATTATTCAAAATGAAAAGAATAAGGTAAGTACAATTTTTGTGTACTCTTTACTCTTCAGTCTTTACTTGGGAAGAGAATAATCACATGTTGCTGTTATTCATTCTTTTACTTACCCCCCCCCCCCAACATTTAAGAAACTACTTAAATTTCTACAGTAGGAAACAAAATAAAGGAACTAGGAATATTCTACTTTCAAGCACATACAGTCTTGAGGAGGAGATAACATGCAAACACCTAGCAATCGGAAGGCAGAGTAAATAAGTGCTGTACTTGAAGATAAGTAAAGGGCTTTAGAAGAAACAGGATTATTTCTGGTTAAGGAGATCAAAAAGTGGTATGTGAATCAATTTACACTGAGAAATATAAGTATCAAGCAGACTAGCTATTTATTTTTGGTAATCAGCCCACTTTCTTCTGGCCAGAGGTATATGGAAAACCACATTTATATCAAACAGTATTTTGTGTATGCAGAATCAGAATGGGCAGAGTTGGCCAATATCATCAAGACATAATAGTCTGAGAAATCATTCCCTACGATGGAAAAGGACCTGATGTGGATCATGAAGAACTTTTTCCTGGGACAAAATGTTGGCAATATAGTGCCAGGTTTTGTCTTTAGACTCTTCTTAAGAGCCTTAGAATGACTCCCCCCTCCCCTGAACATGTTTTTTCTTTCTTTATAATGGTGTTTATTTATATAGACACTTTGTTTGTGAAATCACAGTCTAGTCTTGCTGTCCTGTAGGGGATTCCTAACTTGTTTTTCTTTTTCTTTTTTTTTTGTAATGCTGGGGATGGAACCCAGGGCAACAAACACTTTACCACTGAACTATACCCCTAACCTTCTAAGACTTCTTAATCACACATTATTGTAGAGTTTCTTAGTTCAAAGGGCTTATCCCTTTGTAAATTTTAGGACATTCTACTTTTGGTATGTTTATGATACCTTTGTAGCTTAAAATACAGTAAACTTCATGTTTTTTAATTATCAATCAGAAGACAACTAGCTTTTAGTTACAATATTAAAATTAGTAATATTTAAGTTTACTATGTAATATATGCTCTCTTAAGTGTAACATCTATTAACTTATTTAGTCTCTCCAAAATCTTTTAGATAGGTAACAGTTTCTAACATCTAGAGTTCCAGCTTCTTGGGGCTGAAGCAAGAGGATCACTTATGTCCACAATCAGCCTAGGTAGGCAAAACAATGAGATTCCCATCTCAAAAAATTTTGTTTTCATTTTGTACGTAAGAAATAATCACTGAAAGATTAAGTGACTTCCATCAAAATACTCAGCTTTTATGCGACATCTGAGTTTGGGAGCTCTTAACCACTCTGGTTAGCAGCCAGTAACACAAGGAAGTTTTACGGTAAATAGAAGAGACTTGAGTGATGGCAAGGGTGAGAGATTGAGGCATCAAGAATGGCTGGATTTCCAGTCTCTGAAAGGATAATACAGTATATGATGTCCTGAACAGAAAAAGGCAAGACAAGTAGAGGAGAAAATGAGTTGACTTTTACAAATTTTGAGATTTAGAAAGTAAGATTTTGAAATTAGAAAGTAAGGTTTTAAGCTCAGAGAAAGAGGAGATTAAGATGGGAGATTTGTTTCAAGATTAGGTAATTGAAGCACTGGGGACTTAAAAAAAAAGTTTGCCTGAGTCCACCAAAAAGGGACAGGAGAGGCCAAGGGTTCCCCCTTGAGGAATTAAGAAACAGCTGGGGAAGAAGAGGTCGCCAAGGAGGTGAGGGTCAGCATTGCATCAATGAGAGGGAGATGAGAAGTGTAACTAACTGTTCTGCAGGGATTATATGCTTCAGGGCTTTATTTTTAGCATGTTCTAAATAGCTAATGGGATTTAAGCTATGATGGTGAAGCTTAGGCTTAAAAGTTTGAAAATCACCTTTGTAATGTGTAGTATTTTTGATAGGATAATTCTCTGTTGTGAAGAACTGTCCTGTGCATTACAAGATGTTCAGCAACAACTTTGGCTCTACCTGTTAGCTACCAGTGGTGACCACCCACCCACCCCATCTAAGTAATGACAATAAAACTTGTCTCCAGACCTTGCCAAATTGTCCCCTGGAAGGTAGGGAGCAAAATTGCCCTCCATGGAGTACCACTGGAATACTGGTAAAAGGATGAGCATAGGAGCTAGACAGACTTAAGTCCTGATTCTGCCACATTTTAGTTCTTGAACATCAGGCATGACATTACTCTAAAGTTTGACATTCTCATCTGTAAATTGGAGATAACAATCTTACTCCATGTGGTAGAATTAAACAAAGGATAACAAGCTCCCTTAATGGAGGTCAGTATTTGCCTTCCTCTTAACTATTCACCATTCTCCCTTTCCACTAACTAAAGCTATGAAACATTTATGTAGTGACTGGATATCTTACAGCTGGATAATTATATTTGTAAAATATTTTATTAAAAAATTTTAACTCCAGTGCAAGGACCTGAGTTCGATCCCTAGTACCAAAAAAACCAACCAAACAAAAAAATTTTGACTCCAGAGCCGGGTGTGGTAGTGCATGCCTGTAATCCCAACACTTAAGAGGTGAGGCAGGAGGATCACTATGATTTCAAGGCCAGCTTGGGCTATATACTGAGTTCAAGGACAGCCTGAACTGCATAGTGAGACTCTGTCTCAAAGAAACAAAAAAAAATTTTATTTTTTAATGTAATATGCAGAAATCTCAAATCTGGCGTGCCTCTTACAGTTATTATTCAGAGGATCATTTATAGTGAAGAAGTAGACCTGTGTAAAAGGAAAGAAGTGATTAGTTGGAAAAGTACCATATGTCCTTGGAAATAACACCAGGTCTTTGTATTAAGTTTTGCTCCAAAAGATGCAAC